ATTGCTGGAAGTGTCATCTATGCAGAAACGGCTGTGGATGTATGGAATGACCTTCGTGACAAATTTTCACAAGAGAATGATACCCGAATCTAGCAAATTCGGTAAGAAATAATTGAACAACGGCAGGGACATGGATCAGTTTCTGTCCACTACACCAAATTGAAAGCCTTATGGGATGAATTGCATTCCTACCAAGAACCAATCACTTGCACCTGTGGATGGCTCAAAAATCTTGCCAAAGAACAGGAGAAAGAGAAGACCATGCAATTCTTGATGGGATTGAATGATTCTTATGCTACTGTTCGAGGTTCCATCCTCATGATGAGCCCCCTTCCCGACACTCGAAAAGCCGATGCTCTTATTCTTCAGCATGAGAGACAAACCGATGTACCCACGAGATTAAAGAATGCGGGACACCAGGCGAACTACCAATCTGGAATCTTGTCGAACCGATCGACCGGAAACACCAAAAAACGACAAGAAGCCGAGCTACCACTGCGACAGAAGCTGTCTCTCCATCGAACGCTGCTTCTATATTCATGGATTTCCTCCCGAACACGGTTTTCATGGCAAGGATGGTAAACCGAAAGGGAAGAAATCAACCGTTTACAACTCCACCGCTACCGCCATTGAACCGGAAGGGGAACAAAAATAATGTTCTTGACACTCTCACTGCCAAAGATCGTAACCGACTCATAAACCTTCTTCGCAATGACATCGGTAATGCTCAGTCTTATGCTCACACCGCACGTACTTGTCCATCTCCAATCCACACAAATGGCCCTTTGATAATGGACAGTGGTGCAACTGACGGTATCTCCAAAAACTTTACCAACACTAATGACCCTTGTACCAAGCATAATTTTGTGGAATTATCAAATGGAGGGCAAACCAAAATTGATTCTGTTGGGACTGTGGAATTATAAAAAAAAAATATGACCCTTAAAGATGTGCTTTATGTTCCCGAATTCAAAGTCAATTTGTTTTCTATTAGCAAGCTTACAGTAGCCTTAGGTTGTAATGTGACATTTTATCCTCATTTTGTGTGGTGCAGGACTTAACTACGAAGAAGACGATCGATTGGTACGGGAAGACAGAGTAATGGTTTATACTCCCTAATAATGGCAAACCGGAGTCCACCCTCATCCAACACCGTTCACCGCGCAAACAACCTTTGGCATAGACGTCTCGGGCATCCTTCAATCGCTCTACTTCAGTTATTATCTAAAACTATTCCCAATATTTCCTTTGATTCCCATGAAATTTGTGATGTTTGTCATCCAGCAAAACAATCTCGATTACCTTTTTCTACTAGTAGAATTTCAAGTGATGAACCTTTTAACTTAATAGATTGTGATATTTGGGGACCACACAAAATATATTCTCATTCTGGGGCTGAATATTTTTTTATCAATTGTGGATGATTATTCTTGATACACTTGGATTTATCTTATGCGTTACAAATCCAAAAACTCAATCATTTATTAAGAATTTTTTCGTTTGGGTTAAAACTCAATTCAACCCTAAGATTAAAACTCTCAGTCCGATAACGGGGGAATTTCTTTCTTTACAAGTGTTTTCAATGACAATGGTACAAATTTTCAAAGATCTTGTACTTGCACACCCCAACAAAACGGGGTCGTGGAGCACAAACATCGCCATCTTCTGAACAACCTACCAACACCACAAAATGATCCTCAAACAGCCATTCCCGAACTCACCCAGTTGACTAGAACCACGCCAGAGGCAGAAACAGTCCTCCAACAATCAACCAGACCAAGTCGACTGCCCGCTTACCTCCAAGACTACCAAATGAATCATGTAATACCTTCCTTACCTACGTCGCTTCCAGTTAAGTCAAGCACTCACCATCAATTGTCAAGGTATGTGTCATATTTCAATCTTTCCATTGCTCATCACACCTTTGCTTTTAACATATCTCACTTGGTCGAACCAGAAACATTTGAGCAGGCTTGTAAGGATCCCAAATGGATTGAGGCAATGAAGGCTGAAATCACGGCACTTGAAGCAAACAAGACTTGGTCTCTAGTTCTTCTACCCTCGGGCCAGCGTCCCATTAGATGCAAATGGGTATTCAAAATCAAATATGACTCTAATGGCAACCTTGAACGGTACAAGGCTTGCCTAGTTGCCAAGGAGTTTACTCAACGAGAGGGGATTAACTACACAGAAACTTTTGTTCTCGTTGCCAAGCTCACCACTATACGTTATTAAATTGTCATTGCCTCCATTCGTGGTTGGAGCCTCCATCAAATGGATGTCCAAAATGCCTTCTTACATGGAGATCTTACTGAAGAAGTTTACATGACTCTTCCTCCGGGTTTTGTCGACAGGGGAAGCCACTTGTGTGTCGACTCCACAAATCCTTATACGGTTTGAAACAAGCCTCATGGTCATAGTTCCACAAGTTTCTTACTGCCATCAACAAGTTTGACTTCTAACAATCTCGGGCCGACTACTCCCTCTTTATAAAGGTGTGTGGGGACTCTTTTACAGCCATCCTCTCATACGTTGATGATATGATCATAACAGGAAATGGTCCTAAGGTTATCAATTATGTGAAGACTTTTCTTGGGTCTTGCTTCAAGTTGAAGGATTTAGGGGCGTTAAAATATTTTTTTGGGGTTGAAATAGCTCAATCTCAAATGGGTATCTCCATCAATTAACGCAAGTACACTCTCGACATTCTTCAAGAGGCAAGATTACTTAGTTCGAAGCCTGCCAAATTTCCCATGGAACAATCTTTGAACCTCACTCCCACCGATGGTGACTTATTCAAAGACTCGACACATTATCCACGACTAGTGGGGAAGTTGATATACCTAACCATCACAAGGCCGGAAATCTCTTTTTCGGTCAACACTCTTAGCCAGTTTATGCAGGAGCCTAGACGACCCCATCTTGATGTTGTCCACCACTTGCTTAGGTACTTGAAAGGTTCACCAGGACAAGGGTTATTTTTCCCATCTAAAGGCGATTTGAATTTAGTTGGATTTTATGACGTAGATTGGGCTAGAGATATTACAACACGTTGATCGGTAACTGGTTACTGTGTTTTTCTTGGAAAAGGCTTTAATTTCCTGGAAAAGCAATAAACAGACTACAGTGTCCAAATCCTCAGCTGAAACAGAGTACAGGTCTATGGCATCCATCACTTGTGAATTAACTTGGCTGAGACATTTATTGCGGGATGATCATCCACAACCAGGGACTTTATACTGTGATGACCAAGCAGTCATGCACGTTGTTGCTAATCCGGTTTCTCATGAAAGGACGAAGCACATTAAGATTGACTATCATATTGTTCAAGAGCGCATTGACCGAGGAAAAATCAAAACGGCCTATATATCTAGTGAGAATCAGATTGCAGATATATTTACTAAGGCATTGGGTCAAATACCATTTCACACACTTCTTTGCAAGTTGAACGTTCTTAACATTCATGCTCTAACTTGAGGGGAATATTAAAGGAAAGATTCCGCCGTGATATTCCGGGATTTATTCCCATCCTTTATTTCCTCATTACATAGTAATTGCGCAAAACAAATCAGAATAGTTGACTACTAAAATTAGGAGGGAAATTAATTGTAATTATTATATTTTATTATTTCCACGTTATATTTTATTCTTTCCACGATTGTAACTATTGTATATATACTCATGTAACTCTTCATAGATATATGCAGAAATTATTTACCAAAACATCTCTCTTTACTTGATTTTTCATTGGGTTGGAACCAGATCTACCATTGAAGCTGAATTCATGGATGGGGCTGAAAAACTCATGGATGGGGCTAAAGCAGCGAGATTGGGGATTGAAGAACTCATCGGCGATTGGAACGAAAGGCTCAAGCACAAATCAATTTGAGTTTTAGTTTTTTTGAAGGGTTTTTTGAATTTTAGTTGTTTACAAACCTCAGTCGAAAACTCTATGAACAATTTTATAATTATAAAAACCGGATTGGACCAAAAAGTGAAAAAAAGAACTAAACCCGTTTAGATATGCCCCGTTTACCAATTCAACTAGTTCTTTTGTCCAACCTTTCTATCAATTGACTTATGATGACATACGAGGTTATCTAATATTAATTTCCCAACAATTGCAGTTTTCTTTTTCTTTTTTTTTTTTTTTTTTAGTCAAGCTAGCTTCTTAGTTTTGCTGCCTCAAGTTCTAAAAAAAATAAAAATAAAATTTATAAAACAAGGGTGTTACGAACAAATGAAAAGACACACAGAATTCAATTGCAGATCAAAATTGAATAGAAAGAGATGAGAAATATATCACAATTGGATAGAAAGAATTATTTGGATGCCCATTTTTTAGGCTAAATAGTTCTAGCACTAGTTTAAGTCCCACAAATCTGAATAAGTAATGCATGTTAAACTTTCATAGGGTACCATAAGAATAAAATCTAATGTCCAATCTTATCAACAAGGAATGGTGATTTTAAGGGCTTTTATGTAATAATAATGAGCTTATCAAGCAATGGTTGTATAGCATCAGCTTTCTACTGCTATTGGTTGTCCTAACAAAGTCAAAGAACATCATATACCAAGATCAAGAAAGAAAACAAACACATATCAGCTGGTGGTTTGGCACATTCAATGATTCTCATTATGAAAATAGTTTTTGTGGATTGGTCTGAAACATCACTATAAAGAAACTTCGAGTCACCAGCAAATATTCCAACATAACATACAATGATACCAAAAATCAATCATTGCAATAGTCACATATTCAATACACATCTTTATCAAAAATCAATCATTGAACTAATCACACCCAAATCACAAAGAAAATCTAGCAAGTGCTGGAGCTCCCAACTTCCATGGCTGCTTTAAGGACACTAGAGAAAGTGACTGTTCCATAATTCAAAACCCCTTTTCGCAATGCTTCACACACACACATATACATATTATGCAAGAAAGAACTTCCAGTCTTCGATCAAAGATGCAATTACTTATCAATAAGGGAGAGAGAATGAGAATACCACCATATAACATTACATTGTAGACTAAATGGAAGCATAAATATAACAAAAGAAGAGTCAATAAGGAATTCAGCACCAGACAGTTCTATGATCAAAACATGAGCAACAATTTCATTTGATATCTGTGTTTTAACACCTAAAATATCCATACATGACCCAACTGTACCCTCCTCCTAAACATTCCTCTGGTTCATAAAAGGACCAAAAAACCAAACCCTGTGCTATGACTCGCTAATCCTCTAAACAACTATCAGCTAAGAAAGAATAGAACTTTACAAATTGGACTGTTAATTGCAGGTAACTATTTCATATACAGAGTGTATGTCACTTTTACTTTTGTCGTCTTCATATTTTTTTTCACATCGGATAGTTAAAGTTCTGATACCCCATTGGAGCTCCTTGATCAGGGAAATGGCCCGGTGGAGCCACCGGCTTGCTATCCACAGTGGTGGTGATGTCGTGGATGCTCGATCTCTTCCTCTCTTTCTTTGCCGAGTTCTGCCGGAGGTAGTACTTCTGGGCATGGCTAGCCACTTGAGTCGGCGTTCTTGTTATTACCACATTTCTCGAAATGCTCCTCCAGTCACCCTTCCCATATTTATCAAGTCCAACAAGAAATAGCCTGTGATAATAGAAACCAAATTCCGTTAACAAAACATCATAATCCAATAGGTGGATCACAAGTTACTCTAGTACAAGACTAATCCAGAAAGTAGTAACATATTATTAGATCTATATTCAAACTGATGGTGCCTAGCAAATGCTGTGCGTGACAACTTTTAGAAGAAATTCTAACTTAAATGAAGAATCAGTCCACCCCCTAGAAACTCCAAATGTGCAATCACTTGCAAAATTCTAACCATTTAATGGCACAAGAGTGCAAAACCTAGCTTTACAATTACTTAACAAAGAGGACAAAGTGTTGGACCTATATTAAGGACCAATAAATATTCACAACTGGCACTTGATTTTTTCAGTTGTCATTTCGTTTGATTTTCAAATGTATCAAGTACCCAAAAAACAGAAGCCCTATTTTCAAAGTGATTAAATGCAAGGGTTTGAGGTGAATTATTCAAACTTGATGAAGTCATCAACTTACTATTTTAGATTTATGGCATGTCAATTTGAACAGCATGGGCTAACAAGAATACACAGAAATTGTTGACCATGTCTGATTGCTAAGAATATGTAATTAACAAAGAAAACAAATTAAGGGTGTGTTTGGTACCCTTTGCAGTACATAAGTTTCTTCAAAAACACCGAATTTCAGCAAAAATGCATTTTCAAATAATTTTTAAAAATATATATATTTTTGAGTCTTAGATTTTGAATCATACTGTAAAAACCCCAATTAGAAGTATAAATTCACACTTCAGATTCACAATCAGTAGTGGCTTACTTCAGCTACAGTATTAGATTTTTATACCAAAATCACAAAAATAAATTTAAATTTTCAGAAATTCACAAAAATAAAATCGTCATATCTCATTTTCTTGCCCATATCCTCTGTTTTCTCAACAACCAAACAGAGAACATAGACAAAACCGAGTAATCTTGGGCTAAAAAAAACCCTTTTTGAAAAAAAAACATCCAAACACCCTCCACATAAGTTCCAATTAACCCATTTGATTAGATTACAATCAAGAAGCTCAAATGATAAATTAAAAAAATAATAATAATAAATAGATTAATTTTCACCGAATCTGTTGAGAAATCAAAGAAAACCCTAGTATTTCTTCACATGCTCTGTTTGGTTGCCAAGAAAACAAACATAAAAATAAACGTATAAATATGGATATGTATATATATACATACTTGTGTTCTTCTTCTGTCCATGGAGTCCCCTTCTTCCTCTCCATCTCACCGTGCTTCTTCCCGGACCCAAACGAGATCTGACTGCCTCTCGAGTCCGACTCCCAACCGAACGACTCATCAGAATAACTCGGCAACTCGACCCGGCCGGAGTCGATCTCGTGCACGTCGTGAACCAGCGAGTCGTAGTGCGCCATCACCTCCTCCAGCGCCTTCCCCGGAACTCGATCGGCGATCCTCTGCCACCGGTCGGGCATTTCGTCCGGGAACATCACCAAAGCCTGCTCGAACAGCTTGTCCTCGAACCGAGTCCACGACGCCGAGTTGTTCGGCGCCGGATTTCCGATCATCCACCGGTTGTCTTGGAACATAGTCAGTCAGTCGATTCAAATCCCCGCTTCCTTGTTCTCTCTCTCTCTCGAGGTTTTTCTCTCTCTCTCTAGAGTTTTTGGAGGGGTTTGGTGAGTAGTTTTGGAGGTTTTATATTTGAGAGAGATGAGTTGCATTTATAGAGAGAGCGATGGGTTGTATGAGTTGTACATTTTATATTATAGTATATGCAATAATTTATTGCATATATATACTATTATATATATATATAGAGAGAGAGAGAGAGAGAGAGAGAGAGGGGTTTTTGACTGTTATGAATGAAGGAGTGTTTGTTTTTTTAATCTGGGTACCAATCCAACTTTATATAGAGGTCAATTATAGCACGTTTTTGCTATTAGTTGTTGTTTTTTTTTTTTTTTTTAATTTGGGTGAAAAGTGAAGGTGTATGTACATGAGGCCGCCCAAGGCCGACCTCTTTTTTGGTGCAATTTTTTTTTGGTTAATATTTTCCTAATTTTGTTATTATATTTTTTTTGGCAAGTACTATTTCTTTTTATCTGATAAAACCATATTCAGATTAAAAACTATTGGATTTTCTTTCAGATAAAGTTGAAAATAAAAGGAAAGTAATTGGGTATGAGTGACTTATTACTTTACTTAGAAAATTGAATTATGAATTCATAAACTTTTTTAAATGATATTCAAAAAAGGGTATTCTAAAAAAAAAAAAATTGCATAGGCCATGCACGTGATATTGTTTCATCCCTTTTGTATCTTTTTATAAATGGTTGTTTTGTCCTTTTTACAATTTTTTTTTTTTTTTTTTTTTTTTTTTTTTTCTAGTTGATTTGTCCTTCGCAATGTTTTTAAATATTGAAGGGGTACGTGCAAACACTAAACTTAAGGGTTGAGCCTGTGTTGGTCCAATTGTGATCTATAGTTTTTTAGAAAGCCAAATTACTCGGGCACATTGATATATGTTGAAACTAAGGTCATGTTTGGAACTGCTTTTGTTTTCTGATTCTGTTTTGACCCTAAACATAACCATGCTTTTGTTTTTTGATTCTGTTTTGACCCTACATATTAGAACATTTTTGCTTTAAAGTGTGTTTAACGGTAATAGGAAGCATGTATGGTAACATTATATTTGTTTTAAGATTTTTAGAAGTAAAAAAATATGTTTAAAAGTATGTTTAATAGTAATCGGAAGCATGTATGGTAACATTATATTTGTTTCAAGATTTTTAGAAGTAAAAAAATGAAAACATGTTTGGTAAAAAACTGTTGCAAGTTTGAAAAATAAATTAGTTAGTGCTGCTCATCATTACAATATTTTGCTACATTGTGAAAGCAATCAAAAACACCAATTTGGTGCTTCCAATTTTGACCTATTTTTTTAAAAATATTTCGATACTATTTAAATCCTATCAAACATTACCAATTATTCTTTCATATTTTGTTTCGCTATATTACATTGTTCAAAGCAAAAAACATAAAGTAAAGCTGTTTTTTTTTTTGGGTAAATATAAAGTAAAGCTGTTGCCAAACAAGAACTAAAAAATTGAGTTCAGAAAAAATATGTTAAGATAATGTTAAAAGCTATTACTAAGGGGTTTATAACCAATTGGATCCTTTGCCATGAGAAGACAGAAAATTGGCAATTGCCTACAAAATCAAATTACAATAATGTTATATAAGTCAAGTCAAAGTGACACAGAATATTCTAACGAATGGGGTTTTTATTCCCTTGATAAAACAAATAAATTTAGGTGTGGATCATATTTAATACGTCCAAAGGATTAAAAAAACTCTTAAATTAAACAAATAGGTTAGACGAATCTACCTAAATTATTTTCCAAAATCAAATTATGTTAACTAGGTTTAAAAGTAAGCTCTTGATTTCAAAAAAAATTTGCTTCACTCACCGAATCTTAGTATATGATCTAATGAGGAGTAGCATTTTTCTTTATACCTTTGGCAAGAAATTTAGGCACACTCTCATATTTTTTTGGGCCAAACTTGAATTTATAAGTTGATAAAGTATCATAGAGTCTTCAACCTTCTATTTTAACCTAAAATAAATATTTTAGGAGTTTAGAAATTTAATTCCACCTATTCTAATTTTTAAAAGTTTCAATTTCGTATTGAGGTGGACCGCTTTAGGGTAATCTGATCATAAACAATTAAGTTTATTTTTATAGTAGGCCAACAATATTGGAATAGGCGGTGAAAAGTAGTCACTTGTGGACTTACTATTATTGACAAGTACGAGGAATTGGGTACTTAATTTTTTTTTTTTTTTTTTTTTTTTCTGGAATTGGGTACTTAATCAACAGTCATTTTATATTAAATAATATTGCTACATTAATTTTCTTATATATTTTTTATTCTAACACGGTAGACATTAATTCCTGTTCATGTTTGAGAATATAAATTTTTGGTTAAAAATAGTGCTGAAACATTTATATATAGTTTTTTCCTCTTTAACATTATTCTGCATAAGCAAACTAAAGTAAAAAATAAACATTCTCTGAGATTTTTTTTAGTATTTGACTATTAATTACTTTTAAATTAATAATAGAAATATGTAAATTAGAAAATTTTCACAAGTTTTTTAAACCATATTAATTATTTCGGCCGAAAGGTTTTTTTCCATCCATATCCATTTAGAAAAGAACATTGGTAATGTGTGGGTCAGAGTAGAAGTCCTGTCAAATATGATTGGCTGTAATTTGTGAGGAATCAGAAAGTCAAAACTCTTTAAATGTTATTTTTGTCTTTTCGAATCCAATGAAAATTCATCCAGATATTTTCACAATCTTGGGCCTAGTGGATCCAATTTGACCGACTAGCTATAGTTCAGTTCAACTTGGTATTTATGATTTTTTTTTTTTTAAATAATATTTCAATTTAGATTTGGATACTTTTGCAATTGTGAGAGGTTTTTGAGGAGGGAGAGGTGAAGGTAGGGAAGGACAGACTCGAACATGGACAAATTTATTTGGGAAGTTGTCCGAGCTTAGCTAATTAGGTTAAAAAAAAAAAAAATTGAAAAAAGTTTTCAAACTCTTTTATATAATGATGGACTACATATCCTATGGTGCACCTCACTCACATCAGTGGCGGGATCTATTGATGGGGCCCACTTTTTTCTTTTGTAAGTGAAGTGTATCATACTTCCGGTTCAAACAAAATTTTCTTATTACAAAAGTCTTTCACCATACAACTCCATATTGTTACAACGGATGAATTCAACATATAAAAAACAATTGTGTGACAACAAATTTTGGTTGCATGTTAGGCATGCATATGAAGTCTAAGTCTAATTAAATAGGATGAATTAGGTTAAATTGATAACTTTACATTATAAATTGTCTCATCTTAATGTCCTTATTTGTGAAAAAGGGTTTGGATTGAGGTTGGGATATGTATGCCGACTAAAGGATGACTCAATTCACTCTAGAATGAACGAGTGTGTGAAATAGGGTTAAAAAGTTGGCACCCTTTTTAGAGAGAGAGAGAGAAAGGGAGAGAGAGAAAATCTCATTAATTGAAGGATTAATGATCATGATTCATAAACCATTAGTCATTTGTTCAATGCCTAATGATTATGATTCATTCTTAGAGTTAATGGAATCTCTGAAAAAATAATAAAGTGGTCAAATCTATCGGTTGGGCTTATCAAAAGTCAACACTAAAACATTTTAAGCCCATTTTAGTCTTATTTTTCAAGAAAATCCAGTTTAAAGTACTGTTTGGCTACTCTACTAAGGTGCTTTGAAAGTCAGGCATCAGGTGTTTGCGTGTAGCATAATGATGCTTATACATCATACATACACCATACATACGTATATGCCATATATATTGAAATCTATAATTAATAATGATGCTTTTACATTAATTCTCATTTGTCTCAAAAACAAAATTTCAATCATGATGCAAATTTGTAAATTTAACCACCAATAATTATTGTAAATTTTTAGCATATCCTCTCAACCTTATTCGTATAAAGTGGAAGCGAGAGTGAATTCGAAAGTGGGAGCGGGAGTGTGAGAACGATAGAATTAAATCATAAATAGTGAGAACTTAAACGAGAGCGTGATCGGAACGTGAGAGCGACACGTATTGAGAAAGATTATGTGACTTAGCTCTCAATTATTGAATTGAAATTTCAATATCTATAGGACGAGAGGTTACAATCTAGATGAGAGCCATTGCAAGTACTAGGGATGACAACGGTTGGGTTTGGGACGGAAACCAGTGATCCCTTCCATCATTGTTTTCGTATAACCATGCAATATAAACGGCGCAGGTGAAAGAGGACTTATTTCCATATCTACTTGCCCAAAACTGTATGATAGGGGCCAGATAATTTGTCATCCCTAAACTATTAGAGTCTTTTTATCTATTTTGATTATTTACATGCTATGATTTGAATATCTAAACTGTGATTTCGTGCACGCATTTACTAAATTCAATGAATAATATATCATAATTCATTTTGATTCCACTTGTGTGGAATCGGTCACATTAATTCTCTCTTTAATTTTTTTTTTTTATTACACTGTCATTTTTCATATTGTGTTAAATTTATAAAGTCATTTTCAATAATAATGTCTCACTTAATAACAATTAATCTTTCTCGTTTCACGATCTCGCCCGTGCATTTCTAAATATCAAATATAGTCCAAACTATCGATCTCAATCTATTATTTCTAATTTTCTCACAAATGGACCACCCATTGTGAAAGCACATTCATTGTAACATTATGCTTATATATATAAGCATTTTCATTAATGTGAACATAAATTCATTATTAAAGTGTGAACATAAAAATATATATACACCTGTATGCTGTATATATATTTATAAATATACTGCATAATAAATAACATATTGAATTGAATAGATGCTGCGAACCGTAGAATGTCGGCAAACGATGCCGGAGGTGGGTTTGTCGTTTTGTAACAGGTTGGTGGCAAAGCTGTCATTTTAAAAGGCGGCTCATCCAATCTTCTTACTCTGGAAAGTGCTAGGAATACCACATGAAGTTGCCTACTTTTATTTTTTTTTTCTACGTGGTTAGTCCATTCACTGACACGTGTACAGCATATTGGCTATGTTTTCTTAAAGCAGTTCAACAAAGTTTTGGATAAGGTTGCTTTGCCACCTCATCAACCTATTTTTATATTGGGTAATATTACCAT